AAAAAAAAAAAAAAAAAAAAATCCACTTATTTGCTAATAAATACCAACTCTTCAGCAAAGTCTATCTGTAAATTATAAATAAATTCAAAAGAATTATAAAAAAATGAAAAATTCTATCATGTTCCTTGTTCTGTTCTTCTAGAATTTAGTTTGATTTTCAGGGGATTTCTTTCTGTACTCGACTAAAGAAATTTTAGTTCGACTTACGTTAACAGCGAATCTAGAAGCTTTATACCAAGCTCTATTTTCTTTCCGGTCTTCCAAAAACTTCAGCACATCCTGCATTTGAGTATAATAAGCCTAGATTAGGACAAAAGCTAATGATGAAAATATCTTTTGTTTTTATTAAGAATCTGGTCTGAAAAGTTCTTCACCTGGCCCATCCGATCCCAGAAAACTCGGGACACAACCACAAACACCTGAGTATCGAAAATGGCATGCAATTGATCGATAGTATTTGACAGTAACTCCTTCAAGGGCTGCATCCTCCCCCGAAAATCAGATTCTGTTTCATTTTCCTTGGCATCTTGTATTATCTTTTTCAGCTTCGTACCGTTATGCAATTTTGTCTGAACAAGAAAATTATGCAACCTCATTAGTTTCCCTATTTCCCTTGAGGGTTGATCTAATTACAAAACAGAAAAACAGTTGCATTTCAAAATTAAATTTTGCGTTTTTACAACTAATGTCACTGTTTTTACAAATAGAAACAAACATGAAGGGATTACTTATAATTCTGAAGACTGTGGATTTCGGGCAATTGGAGGAATTCATGGAATCAATCAATCAAATACAAATTAGCAACCATCGTTTTCAGCCAAAATAATCAGAAAGCAAATGCAACTAATATCTTGTGCTAATAATTTTAAGTACTCACATTTTCAACGAGTTTATCAACAACCGCTTGCACATAAGCTCTGAATTTCGATCTAATCATCACAGTTACTTCACTTAGACACTCTCCCGGGACCATGTTCTCGCTTTCAGGTATGCACGAACCCCACAACTTCAACTGTGCCTGTATCTGGGGCCTCAACGTATCGAGCATTCTTTTCATGGAATTCAAATGTCCTCCCAACTGAAAAGAGAACATAAAAAATCAATACCTGCTTGGATAAAAAATTCAGGAATAATACTAAACATTCAATGACAAAACTCATTGTACCTCAGGGGACACATCGTAAGGAACATTATGCCCCTTTGTGAATTTCTGTACATATTTGAGGCCCAATTTGATTGGGGTAGTGTCTTTCAGTGAAGATAAAACTTCAACATTTTGCCTCTCTAAGCTTTCAATTACAGCTTTCTCAACATCTGCTATGGCCTTTAACAGAAAACAAGAATGCATGCAATCAGTAAATTGATACGACTATGAACTCAGAATCGTTAATAATCCTTTGCAGTCGTATTATTACCATTGAAAGTGGTTTTTGTTACTTACATATATTACTAAATTTTTGGGGCCTATTACGCAATGGAATCTGAGGCTTGGTTTATTTACAAAATTCACATTAAAATATGACTTGTTTTTAATGTAAGGGGCAACATTAACATCTCTTACATATAAATGAAAATGCTGAGAAAAGATTTAACAGTGTGATGGTTGAGAAAAGATTAAATATTGCATACATTTTCCAATGTGAAAGTATATTCTGGCCACCGGCTTATGATGATATCATACTCAGCAAGTGTATCCTTTATCTGGCCATAGATATCATTAACGAAAGAAGCTGTCGAATGTTGTGCAGGTAAGCTCGAAGGCTTTGTCTGTTGCATAAACATATTCCAGTTAGAACAAGGTAAAGTGGAAATATCATATATATTTTGGCTATATGATAAAGACAGAAGAAGAAAAAAGGGGGAAAATTTTGGAAGCCTACTCCAAGTACATGGATTTCGAGTGAAAACAATATATCTGTAAATATGTGTGGTCAAAAGCATTTCAAGCTCACATAGAAAATGGATACGACAATAAACATTTTGTGATTATTATATTTATTTTCACTGTTAGTATCACTATCACAAATACTAAAGATTAGTTTTTCCATGCAAATATTGGCATGGCCTTAATGATGCTTACATAGCATACGCTATACGGTCGGTCCACTTCTACCGCAAAACAAGTGCATCGGTTTGTATAATGGAGTAGGTTAAAAGTTAAAGAAACAAAGACAGAATACACACATATGTACCAAAAACAGGCAAGAAATTTATTCAGCCAGTGATGTATGGACTACTCAAATGACTAAAAACCTATACTCAGATTGACCTAAGACCCTCTTCGGGTCACATTAACACAAATACTCCCTTGGTTCTTGAAGATGCAAATGTATAAACCAAACATATATCAATTGATATCAAAATATAAGACAGATGACTGGAGCTTTTGTAATTTGAAGAAAAAAAAAAATGGGGTATTTTATTAACCACCCTCAATTTAAAAAAAAAAAAAATAAAAATAAAAAAAAATTGATGGAATAGCTCCTCAAGATCATAGAATCATGCACTTGAAAAATTCAGCAGAAATGTATGATACAATGAAATAAACTATGCTATACAGGGGTGGAGATGGACATCTAAAGCGGAAGAGGCAAAATTTATTTCTAACACAGCGAAACAATAACACTATTCAATATATCGAATATTTACTTTCAAATTTTCTTCAGAGGGTGGGCTGGGGAGAGAAGGGTGGTTACAAGAATTTTGACTATTCAATCTTAAACATGAGAACGGTTTTAGAGTTGATTTTATAGCTGAAACGAAATGATCGCAAACTAGAACATATCCAAAACTACTGAAACAAAGAGGTTTGTACAAACTATTGAAATAATAACTCATCAAAAGAGAGATTGATGAGAACTTTAAATATAAAATCAAAGTTAGATGCTACAACTTTTTCTAGGTAATAAGTTTCTTCATGGAAAATATGCAAAGCCAAAAGTTGGGGAAAAAAAATTTCCAAAAATATTGAAATAATTTTATCAAAAACATGTGTTTATTTATGCATTATGTTTATAAATATAGACAGTAAATAACTATACCTTGTCAAGCTTGCATAACTCGAGCAGAGCTAGACGTTTATCTTGAATCCAGCGTGTGATGTATGGGTGGAACAATTCTTTTGCTTCTACCCCACCTTTGATAGAACTGCAGGAATGCAGATTACATGCATGAAATACAGAACCACCTCTCGAAACACATTTAAAGTTGCACTATTTGACTTTTCATCCAGTACCTAATATTCCAAAAGGCAAGATCCCTCTGAAAATCAGCAGTGGCCAGGACAAGCTCAACCACGTGAGGTGTGGGTCCAGCTGGAGGACACGATACAAGGAATGCCCGTAATCGACTGCACAGCTGCGTGCTGTATATCGAGGACGAAAGGTTTGGCAGGTCTAGAAAACTGCACACAAAGATCAAAATGAATACCAATAATTTATTAAGAAAAAGGGAGGCAAGTTAAAAATTAACATATACATATATATACATATACATGTATGGAAGGGCATTTATTCTACGAGTTCAGCATCTAACCATTCAATGTATGCACGAAATGCAGTCATTCATTATTTTTATTATATATATATATATATTTCTTTTTTTTTTCTGAACACAAGTGGTTAATACAGAGTGCAAGTACCTAGGGAGAATATCCTGCTTGTGGATTTCGATATCGGTCAAGATCTCGTTCTGTATGTTTAGACAAAGTGACTTCATCTTCCTATAAGCAGTTGAAAGAGCCACCGGGTCCATCACTACGTTCTCCGTGTTGTTTGACACATATTCGTCCGTTTCAGACAAGTGCCTTTTCGATCTCTCTTTGGTGGCATTCTGCACAAACGGCTTCTTTCTTATTAAAACCAAGGAAATTAACACAGAAAAAAGGAACAAGTTAAAAAGTATGAATGAAAGATGGACCTGGAAATATCTGCATAATTTCAACTGGGCCTCAGGCGTAAGTATATCGTGCAGAAGTTTGTAGAGTTTCAATGAGGGGCCAAGAGCAGGTGCTGGTACCCCAGTTGCTGGTCGGAAGACATCGACTATTCCCGATGGTGAGCATTCATCAAGTGACTTGTAATTTTCGAAAACCGAAGTCAGAATGTGTCCGACTTGCTCTGACACCTTGACCAGCATACTTGCCTATTAAATTGATTAGTTATTTTTTTTTCAAAACTCATAATCATCAAAAGATGGCTTGGAACTAAGCAAAAATAAAAAAGATAGGAATGATTCAAAAATCCACTTTCAAGGTTTACCTTAATTTCTTATTTCATTTTTTTTTTTAAGAATAGCTAGTCATTCCTGAGAATCTTGAATGATCGTTTGAATTACTTTTCTTTCAATATGCAAAAGAGGAACAAGCGGGAATTCATAATTTGAAAGAAACTGTCCGGCATTAGCTTTTTTAGTTAACCTGAAAGATGTTGAATATTTGAAGGGGTGATATTTTGAAGAAGGGCATTAGAGAGGTCAAAAGAATGTGCATATCCAGTTGTAAAATCATATTTAATTTTTCATAAAAGCCAAATAGGCTACGAGGTATTAAGGCCCCACCAAAGCTAACCTGATTACCATCATAATTTCTAAAACTAAGAGTATGTGCATGCTTCATTCAGTTTTAAAGAAGAACTATCGTATGAGTCGAAGATCTTGCAATATTTGACATTCACCATATAGTATACACCACAGACCAAAGCATATAGATATCCCAACACAAATAAAACTCCAGGTGTAATATAATGAAATTAATGTTCAGCTTCACCTACCTCTTGGCGACTTAATTGTTTAGTTTTGGCCTTAGTTACAACAGGCTGAAGCAACTCATGCACCAAGTGCAGACAGTCAGCAGTAGGGGTTGCAACGTCCATAACATATGAAAGATATCTGTGGAGACATGAAAAATTAATGATTAAACAAATTGTCTACACCAGAAAATATCCATTCATCTGCTGACCATATTTTGGTACCTTAATTTTGTGTACACATCCGATACTCCATAATAAGCAGCGAATTCCTTCACAAGCCAAGCCCAATCACCAGTAAGATTCAGTTTTCTTTCTTGAAACTGTTCGATCTTCAGTGCCGTCTCCAGTACGCAGTCATATGCAATTGTCTCAGCAACAGACGTACACTAGGACGTATAAAATAAAAAAGTTAGCACTACTTCCTAGTGGAATGAAATTAGAATCTTTGGTAAGAAATAAATACTGGCAAGCTAAGTTAAACCGTCCTGTAACCATAAGAAAATCCCATAACCATTTTATAACCATTTTAATAATACTATCTGGTTATGATTAAAATGATTGGAAATATATTTGGCATTGAGTGGTATGTTTTTTACAATTCGATGGTTCAACGCTTGGAAATATTTTTTACTATCACAAATGAATTTCTCTATAATGGACATCTATCTAAAAGGGTTCACATATACTAGAAATTGTTTTTTTTTTTTTTCATCACAAATGAATTTCACTATAATAGGCATCTGTCTATATATAAAATGGTTCATATATACTAGAAATCGACAATAGTCATCCCGCCTAACCTATTTTGCATGTTAATTAATATGTAATTCGTAAGCTATTAAATGTCATAAATGTCAGGTGTTACGACAAAGAAACTACATTAACAATAAAATCGTATTCTCATTTTGTACATTTATGATAAATGATTACAATTGTAGCTATATGTTTTTAAGTAATCGTTACCGTTAATCTTGCAAAAATCATTATAGTTATAAAAAAATATCTTGTAAATAAAATTGATACAATTTATAGAGATGTTATAATTGTAATTATAATTTTTTCAATTAATGGATTGTGAAAATCAAATCAATTAATAAAGATATTATAAAAAAAATTTCAAAAAATATAGACATCTGTTAAAAAGGAAATAAGAATAAAAAGGTAAAAAAATATGGCTATGGTAACAAAAATTAGTTGGCGAAAATTTTCACATATATAATAAATGCTTAACCTTTATATATGTGCTAGTATGTATTCATGTGATACACAGAAACACAATATTATTATTATGGTAAAGTTTATAAATTATACGAGTAAATAACACAAAATATAGTTTATCATTTAAAAGTGGGTATGTTTTATTTATATGGTGTATACTTTGTAAATGCAATTATTGATATGAATTGCTAAATTAAATTAATTTCTCACATAATAAAAAAAAAATACACATTAAGACTGATTATGATATCAAGTTACTACTTGTTTGTTTTGGTATAATGTATTTTGATGACATTTTGATCCAATTCTTAGTATTATATAAAGAAGGAAACAAATTACTGAAATTACGTAAAAGAAAAAATTGATTTATCGGAAGATAAGTTTGTTTTGACTGACAGATTATTTGCACTACATTGTGAAAAAGTATTCTTGTTACTGAAATTCATATTTAGTTTTAAAACTCAATTTGGTTCGGCCAAGTTGACCATGACAAGTTATATCATATTTTAAACTATTTTACAAAACTATTTTACAAATGACCCGATGTGAAACCTTGGTGCCTCGGACATTGCTATTAGAAATATATATTCAGGGGCAACCAATAGTGACTAATTTATCATTTTGGGTTCGGACAGAGAAATATATTTCAGGAAAACCAAAAAGTGTGACTAATTTATCATCTTGGGTTCAGTAGATGTAATCCAATCAAAATATGAAGTTTTTGCTATCAAAGTCACGGGCATACCTTCTGATTGTTTTCATCCGGCGTAGTTGAATAACTAACATGGAGTTGTACTCTCCCAACTTGCTCGTGCTCCGGTTCACGGTATATATAGCACGAACGAACTTTCTCCCTCTGCAATAACACCATTTTGAATGAAAATAATATAAGAAAACAAAAAAGGTGAGATTACACAAATCTTATAATTTAGTTTGGGATTCAGAAGTGACTACCAATTCTTTAGCAATATCGGCCACCTGAAGTAAAGCTTGGCCACATCGCCTTCCCTTTGAATCATGTATTTCAATCACCAGATCATCTCCAGATCCATCTGGCAAGCTGTAGAAGAATAAAAGTTAATGGGTATGAAGTCCATATAGGAGATCTTTGAACATTAAAAAAATGCACGTACAATTCGCGACTTTCATCGGATCCTGGTAGTAATCTAACCGCATCCTCTTCTGGAGAACTTTTTAGCCTCAGCATACAAGAATATGATTCTGTAATCAAATAAAATAAAAAAACATAATCAGCTAAAAATCAGAGGTCAAGAAGACTTAGATGTTTGACACTTCATATCATTCTAGAGCTAAACATATTCTTGAATTGTTCTTCTGGACGACTTCCAAAAATGGGGTCATCTAGCAGACAAAAGATTTGTCAGGTGTTCCCGTAGTGTTTTGTCGTCAAAATATTGTACATGTATGGTCAAAAGATGGCAACTTACAAGATAATAGAATCTCTCTTCAAAAGGAGAAAAACATGGAAAAATAAAGTAAAAAAAAAAAAAAAAAAAACAGTTGTCTTAATCTCCTGCAACTGATAAATGTATGGTTAAAAAGATTGATGAAAGGGATGTACAGCCCCTATTCCATCCCATGACAAGCATACATGGTTTAGTATGAGGGGGAAAAATATATAAGTAAACATTTTAGTGAATATTGAAGAAAAAACTGTAGCCAATCCTTTGAAAAATAATAGCTAGAAATACATACCTTGTACCTCTTCAGAAGATGATGATGATGAACTGCTTCTGATTGCCTTGAAAGCAGCTTTAATGAGCTCCGGGACTTCTTTTAAGTACCGACGAGCTCCAACATTAATTTTATGAAATGTTTCCATCTTAACAACTGATGCAAACTTTAGATAATTAAACGTGCATCCTGTGGGTGGCTCAAACCCCATTTTCACTTTCCTCACTGCAAGACAAAAAGCAGAGTTTTATGAAAGATGTTGTTAGCTCACATGCATTTTTTTTTCCTAACGAATATTGAAAAAATAAAAATAAATAAAGTACCCTGGAGGTTTGAGCTAATTACAAACGAGAACCTTTGAGATAATTACAAACGAAACCGTCGAAGTTTTAATTTTATGAAATAAAAACCTCAAGCCTTATTTTGAAATTTTCTTTGGATCCTTGTTTATAATATCTCAAACTAAAAGGGTGCTTTTTCGTATATGGAACCTTGAATTTTGATCTTGTTAATGGTCTTCTTAGTCTTTACAAAAACTCCTTCACCAACAAGCTCCGGAGACTGTTTTCTCAAGAGCTCTTCCTCTGCCTGCAATAATATGTTCCTGAGCCTACAATAAATGAACGGCAACTTAATAATATGTTCCTGAGCCTACAATAAACGAACGGCAACTTATGATACATCAAAGGAGTGAATTCCTATAATCTAAGAAGGTGATCCTGTTTACATGTTGAACAATTTGAATAATCCAATATAGTGTAGTTTCTTAAACTGCAACAAATAAAGTACAAGAAAGTTACGTATAAATATAGTATCATGTACAATTTGTTGTTTAATATTCTCCATTAAATTATTGAATATTTGTAAAGAAATAGCCCGAGTTGTGCAATAACATTAAAATGACAACTTCAGTTAAATAACCAAAAATTTATAAATTTAATACCAAAGTTATCCCAAATACCGGAGGAACAAATTACACAAGTTGAGAAAAAAAAAATCAGCATCCAAAACTATACTCAGGAATAGAAAAGCAAAAGCAGAGAATCATTACACAAATGACACATGCAAATAACTAGAAAATTACCCAAATGCATCCCTCAACAGGGCACACTCGTTTGCCAAAAATGCAGGAGCTTCCTTACGGCCATCCCTTGACCACGAGTGAAGGCATAGCCGAACACAAGCATCATATGCGATGACACCACACCAATGACCTAACCCACTGTCTCAAGTTTAAACAAAAAATTTCAAGGGATTAATGAGCTGGTCTTTCAAAAGAGGGCAATTGCAAAGCACAACACACTAGAACTTACACTAAATACATGGGATAACGACAAAAACTATCTGCGATTCAGCATAATTACATAAATTCCCACTAATATTGCTGATATTCTGAAATTACAAACATCTACTTAAGATTTGCAGGAACCTAACAACTTTCCCATTTTTCATTGTGCTATCTGTGAAGAATGTCAAATTCGTAACTTTGAAAGATAATGATTTTTTTTTTTTTCAATTACTGTTTAAAGTACGGGCAGCATCATAACTAAATGTTTGTTACATTAAAATACTATTCTCGATTACCTTACACGGAATGTAGGATATCGAGTATTGGGCAATGGCTTAGAGGATGCTGCAGTAGTCCTGTTGAGAACCATAAAACTCACCTCAATCAAAGAAAGTAAATCTTCTAAAGATACTAACCAATATTTTCGGATACGAGATTAAGTTGGAAAGTTTTATGAAATACCCAAATAAATTACACACCTTGTAGACACATCAGAAGCATTATTAACTTCAGTAGCACGAATATCTCGTTGATCCTCTGAGCCACCGAATGGGGGTGCACTCGGTATACCATCATTTACATCACTATGCGGTGGGCCTCTTCGGAAATCCTGAATACAATTTATTACATGAGAAAAAACCCACCAACTGCATGCAACAATCACCCAGAAAAGAAGAAATAAACAAATAAAGATGAAAACAACAATATTTCAACTATACAAAATCAACAAATGGATGCCAGTAAAAGTGAAAACGAACCCGTTGCACAGTCTCGAAATTTGACTGCAATTGGATGCCGGTAAAATTAGCCCCAACCTTGAACTTCCTCTCCAAAACAACCCCATTGTTGCTGCTCCCGGTTCGCGAATAACTTACTTTCGCGCCACCGCCGGTGACTTTATCATCCTGAGGCGAAGCCTCGAGCGAGTAACGGGCACCATCATCCTCAGAATCCGAGCAATCGTCAATGTCTGATTCGGACAAGGGGTATCTTGAGGGCATGTGCCCGCTCCGAAACTTATAAACAGAAGGCATTCCCTGGTTTAGCATTTGGAATTAGTACCTAAACTCTCCTGCAATTCAAATATTTAACAACATAAAATCACTATCTTTTCAGATCACAAAGATTGCCCAGTACACAGAAGTCCTGATAGATGATGCATCATCGTGCTTACGATTTTGCTCAAATAAAATTCTGAATTTTCCTTTCTGAGCTAAAAAGATTGAGTTTTTTGATTAGCTGTAACAACACAAACAGAGACAAACTACCAACGAAATCTGAAAGAGAATGTATAAAAACCTGATTTTGCAGATTAAATTTTTTCAGCCGCAAAAGAAAAAAGGAGCTATCTTTGAACTAATTCAATTCCTAATCTTGCATATATATAAATAACCAAAAAAAAAATTAAAAATTGCCCAGTACTCAAAAACCCAGGCAATGTACAAATATAACAGAGAAGCTACCATTAATTTGATAAACCTCAAAAAGGAAAATCTCTGTTCCAAAGCAAACAATGAGAAGATGAATATGGTAACAGCGTACCACATTAATATCACTTACAATGTTAGAAAATCCAGCAAAGAGAACGAAGGATACCCACTTTCCCGCTGTGAAGAACTTGCCTTTTTTCAAGAAAATTGGTCCTTTTTTCTCTGTCTTTATCTGCCCACCACATTTTTTCCTTAATTCTTAAAAACCCATAATAGTATCCCACATTTCGATCTCTCACTATGATTCTATGATGGTTTTGTCCTGAAATTAGAGCTAAACTAATCTAAATTAAAGATGTTTTAAATCAAGATCAACCCATTTTCCTTTTATTTATGTTTCAGCTTTTTTTTTTTTCTTAATTTGCTCCAGAAAAGAAGGCAAACGTTAAAAAAATACAGAAAAGCGGTGAAAGTTTCGTGGGTGGTAACGTGGGTGTTTGAATCATCAGACTGTAAATTAAGGATGATTTTATTACTTTAATTCAGCTTTTTGGAGCTTTATTACTATCAGTCAAAATGGCAAAAATTGTTTAATCAAAAGAAGGAAAACATATTCTTAACCAGAAAAGAAAAAATATTTTCTTAAAATAAAGCAAGTGAAATTTTTTAAATAAAGAATAATTCCATATACCATAAATTATACTCTTATAATTTTTCTCAAAATTTTCATATCAAAGAATTTAACTATTGAGCGGATTTTTTTTATTTTTTTTTACCATAGAGGATCTATATTAATTAAAGTGCACAAAGTGCGAAAAGACAAAAGCTGAATAGTACAACCAGAGACTATAAAACTGGGAGGCTAATTCGAAAATCACCTAAAAAACCGGCTAGCAACGCTAGAATGACAAACTCGCAACTGCACAAAACAACTAACACAAATAACAACTAAGACAACTAAAAAGATTCCAACGGGATAATACCCGAGTGTCTAATCCCAACATGATAATAAGTCAGCACTCGGACGCACTGAGACCAAATGGCCCAAACCAAAAACACAAACCTATTGAAAAGCCAAACCCAACACAAGACACCAGCGAAATAAGGATAAAAACATCCCACAGCTTGGCCCTATTGAGAGGATTGATCGTTCATTTTTTTTTAAATGCATGTTATACTATGAAATGTCATAATTTATTTATGTTTTTTTTTCATTAAGATATATTAATTTAAAATTATGCAGAAAATATTGTTATATAATTATTACGTGTATCTGACAAATAACAATAGTCTTATTAGTTGAGCTAATTTTATTCTAGTATAAACTAGTAAGTATCCCGTGCGATCCGCAGGTAAAAAATATTCATTAATATTTATTAATTAAAATTGATCATTAAATAATATTTATAAATTGAAAATATGAAATTAATATTTAATACAATTTACCTATATTAATTTATTAAAAATGTTATAATGCAAAATTACATGAATCATATCCATTTAAAATTACTACACTCCGTACGGTGCACGCAACTGATAATAAATAACATTATATTCATTTCAAAATAAGTATCATTTTAAAATTTTTATTCAGAAAATCTATTTCACTACAATGTGATAGCATAAAATAATATTTTGGTAAAATTTTATCATATATTTAAGAATCTATGTGAATTTTAAGTATAATTATAAAATATATATTGTTTCATTAATTAAAATAAATTTATTTTTGTATAAACTATCCAAATCAAAAAAATTAAATTGTTGAGTAATTTATTAAAAAATAATTGACTACTCCATTAAGTCCAAGTCAATATTGACACGTAAGTTATGCATAATTACTTCTTTGACTTACAAATTTGGAACCGCTATTTGGAATTCACAATAAATTCTTTTATATATTTTCAAGCTTTGTTGTCGTTTACCATATTTTCCAAATTTATCAACTAATTATCTAGAATTAAATTACACATCTTAAATTTTATTAACCAATATATTTTTTTCTGGAACGATAGAATATTAGTTCAAAGATCTTTATAATTTTTAATAGAAATACATATCAATTTGTCGAATTACCAGCAATATTTTTGGCAAGTTATTATATGAATATAATAAAATTTGAAAATCATATCACCTTGATTTTATAACATAACAACCTAAAATCCGATTTTCATACTCATACCAAATAAAATTAGTACCACTTATTTTGTTTTCAACATTTCCAAATACACTGCTATTCATACCAAATAAAATTCATACCATTTAAATTCAGACATTTCATACCCAAATACAGTCGCCCACTTTATACCATAAAATCGGACATTTATTAATAAAAACACATTTCCTACCAAAAATAAAAATGACCATCATATATCTAAAATAAACCGCCCACTTTATACCAAAACCGAATTTTTAATTTTTTTCAACTTTATACCATTAATTGATTAATTAATCTCTAGAGGCGGAATTTTAGTTTATATTTCAAGTAAATGCATACCTTTATATATATTTTTTTGTATCTATGTATAATATTTTTTTCAAATAAATACAAACCTTTTTAATGATAAAAAACATGCATTAGATCGTGAATGAATCTTGAATTACTATAAAAGTATTATCAAATATTTTTTTTCATCCTATTTGTTTTTTATAATTTTCAAATTCCAATAATACTTGATGTATATTTATGCTCAATCATTTTTAAAATAAATATTATGTCAGAATTAAGATGGCTAGAGAAAATATATATGCACATGTAATTATTTTTTTTTCTCTTTCTACTTTATTAATAATTTAATATCATATACAATAATTTTATTTTTTAATTCTTAAATAAAAAGTGTTAAATTTTAAAAATTTTCATAGGTATTCTAATAATAAAATCAAATTGTAAATAAAATTATATTTATGAAATTATTTTTAATTTAAAATAGAAGTAGTATATATTATTTAAAAGTTGCAAAGTATAATCTTTATGGGTAATTGATAAGTTATTAATTATCACAAATATACTCATTATTTCTTTTTTTCTTAAGACAATAATTTATATCGTGGTTCGACAAACAACTCGTTAACTTATCCTTCTAAATTCGTGTATATTTGTTAGTTGATATTTCTTTATACTATTTTGTATGTTGTGAATATTATGTAGTAGACGGCCTCCACCACTCCTCGGCGTCCATCAATTCTTCCCAGATTTGCTCCCTCAGCCGTCGTCCAGGCTCGTCGGTAGACGGCCTCCACCACTCATCCACGGCCGATGCACTCTCGCCTTCCTCCTGACGCCACTAGGTTAGGGCTAGGGTTCGACGGACTCTTTGCTCGTTGGCCGCCTGAATTCTGTGAAATCGGGACTCGGTGGGGTGCGGAGGTGCGTGGATGAGCCTAGTGTTGCTCGAATCGGCTTTCGCCGGGCCTTTCTTCTTGCCCGGTTTGGAGGTATGCCCTTGGTGCTCTTCTGGTTTCTGCCGGGCTGGGTCGCCGACTTCCCTTTTTGTGCAGGGAGGTTGGTTCGGGGGTAAGGACGACGCTCTGTTTGGGTCGGGTCGTAGCGGCTAGGCGAAGACGCCATTATCCCCCTTCCTCCCCGTTCTCGGTTCTTGAGTTTGTGGGAGGCCGACCGTTTTGAGATTAGGCTAGTGGTGATAGTCGGTCTCGGGACGGTATCGGATCGACTAGTGGTGTTAGCAGGTTGGGGGGATATTGTGGTTTCTTGTGGTTGGAGTGCGGGTTGGTTTCTCGGATTGTTTTCTAGGCTTGGGTCATCGTCTTGCTAGGCTTTTTGCAGTGGTGGGCGTGGTACCAGAGCTTCGAAGCTCTCTTTGGAATCAGCTTTGTCTTCTGTCTTGTTCGGATGTCTCTGTTTGAGGGAGGCTTTGTTGTTAGGGTGTAGTTGTTTTGTTTCTCGTGCTTGTCTTGGCTTGTTCTTCTTTTGTTGTTTGTGTTGGTGTTTGTGTTAGTTTTTGTGTTTTAGGTTTGGGCCGTTGGCCTCGGTTAGCCCGAGTGTGACTTTATTATCCTTTTGGGACCATGCACTCGGGCTTTACCCCTGTTGGGGTCTTGTTGTTTGTTTGTTTTTCATTCTCCCCTTGGGAGTTTTAGGGTTGTCTGTGTTAGTTTGTGTGTCCGAGTATTACCCCGTTGGGGTCGGCTTTAGGCGGACTTCGGTCCTGTCCTCCCAGTTTATTCCGCTGCTGGCGGCTTGTATTCGGCTATTGGCTGTCTACATTCAGCTTGTGGTTGTACTTTGCGCTTTTGTGCTTTTTTATATAAAATTTCTATCGTTCCGAAAAAAAAAAAATATTATGTAGTAGACATTTATATTCTATTTTATGAAATAACTTTATGCTCTTAAAAATTTGCTATATTCCAACGGAAAATTCAATGGTAAATATTTCAACGGATATTCAAATGGTATAGCTTGCATTGAAATGATTCCAACGAAGATTCGGATGAAAATATTACGTCATGATTTTAGAAGGGATTTGACGGTTCCAACGACTATTTTCTAGCAATTATTACGGTATGAATTTTTATTAGAATATGCAATTTTTCGTTAGAATTTGTATGTT